CTCTCTCTCTCTCTCTCTCTCTCTCTCTCTCTCTCTCTCTCTCTCTCTCTCTCTCTCTCTCTCTCTCTCTCTCTCTCTCATGTGCCAGGTACTACCCTGTGAAGATGGCGCTGTGCTACAGGTACCTCGACGACGAGCTGGAGCTATGGCCCTGCAGGTAAGTCTCCCTGGCCTCCGACCAATCTCTATCTCTCTCCCGTGCTACTCCAGCTCCTAGTAGCGCCCAGCGCCGAAGACTACTGCTAACGCTACTACTACTACTGCAGCGCTCCTCCAGAGTGCTGCTGCCGAAACCTGAAGACTACCTCCTGCCTACTGAACTGCACGTGAAGTGCTTGGGAAGTCCCTATGAACAGGGCGGACCAGTCTTATATAGTGCTGGCCCATCCAGGAGGCTGCTCTTGCCAATGCCGACAAGTGCCAGACCCTGGCGTTGAAGCTCAAACAAAGGTTGCCTTGAAAACAGGCCCAAAATGGCCTGCGCTAAAACCCTGGTCTGGTGCCTAAGTTTCGGGGCAGGTCGATCTTATGAGGGCCTGAAAATGGCCCTCCGTTTCAGGCTGAAAAGACTCAGGGCCTGGAGAGCCCTGTTTTAGGCTGAAACGACACAGGGCCTGTAGGCCCTTGTTTTCAGGCTTTCAGGCTGGAACGACACACGGCCTGTAGGCCCTTGTTTTCAGGCTTTTAGGCTGAAAACAACACAGGGCCTGAAAATGGCCCTCGTTTCAGGCGCAGCATGTAAGAGAACCATATTGCTGCCAGATCTTCTTCAAGCGGGAGCTTCCTTATTCATCCTGGGATTGGCGCTGAGTCTTTTGAGCGAGTTCCGAGGTGGGGTGCTGATGGTCCGGAGGGCTGTAGGGCTGTGCGCATGGAATTCTGAATGGGCGCCATAGCCATACCGGCTGGCGATGACTGTGATGACGGCGTAGCAATCAGGGAGGGTCTATGAACTTGTCGGACTGGCGTTTCGACTTCCTTCAAGGCATTTTATACTCCGTTGTGATTCTTTGGATACGTTGTGAGTCTGTTTGGACTTGGAGCATTGGTGAGGGACTTTGGATATTCCGTGCTCAATTCTTCTTGGTTTGCTGGCTCCATATATTTCTCTTTGGTTTGGTGTGAATCTCTCTCCATATCAGTTCTCTGAACCACTCTCAGCTTTGCATGTGTATTGGAACATGGTGACGCTTTGCGGGTGCGATTTCAGCCAGTCACATAGCAAGTACATGATTGTGAGCACCTCCATAGACTCGGTATGTCCCCAGTTGGACAGGAAGGGCCACAAACACAGTCCTTTCCTCCAGTGCAAGGTTCCTATACCGATTTGAGCGTGTATTTGTGTGAGAGAATAAAGGGCATTGCCACAAATGTTGATAATGTTTCTCACCTGCGCAATGAATCTGCTCGAGAACGATGTAAGTGAGATGGACTCCGCCATCTCTGAAACCATTCTTGGAAACGGGTCGATCCCAAGATGTGGGGACAATAGGTNGACTCCGCCATCTCTGAAACCATTCTTGGAAACGGGTCGATCCCAAGATGTGGGGACAATAGGTCATGCGTCATCTTCAAGACATCCATCAACCTCAGAGTCTCCTGCAGCCAGGGGTTATCAATCACCTCAAAATTGTAAGACACCTTCCGAGCTCGGAGTACTGAACATCACCAAACTACCACGACAAAGGACAACAACAACCCCGACCAGCAGAGATTGACAAAATTGTAAATTGAGAGCTGGATCACACCACAGCTTCCATGAATGAAGCCGATAGTTCTAGTGTCAGTATTTACTAAGGACTTGCTAATGGGTAAGTTTCAAAAATAGTGTGTCCGCGGTAGTTTCACAGCAAAAACAGTGGCGGGGCCCAAGTATCCTTGCAAAAACGCATCCTTCGTTGCAGCTTTACAGCTCCCGGTAGTTTCAGCAAAAATATTTGCTGGCGCAGTCCCACTTCCATTGCAAAAAACACATCTTTCGGACCCCCCAACATTTGGCAAAATGCGCAGTTTCTGCAATTACCCCCCCTGCTAATCTACTGGATTCCAGCAGTGGCATTGCTCAAAGCACTGTAAGCCGCGGAGAGCAGATGACAATTGATAACGACTACCCCTTCCATGTTAGAATCATGCCGGATTCAATCAATGATGATCATTCACACTAGCTGACAGCTAGCAGGTAACTCTGAATACCTGTTTCTCAACAATGCATCCTTGAGTGAAGGAGAGAAGAATATGGAAGTTGAGAATCGAAATATGTCCGATAGAATGAATAATAAAATTTCAATTACCCTGTTTATAAACAGGTCAGCAGTTCAAACTTCAAACCTCAAACTGTGTAGAAAACAGTAGAATAGATAATGCGAGGGGCATTTCCCCTAAAGAAGGGAGAAAAAGAGCAGGCAGTACATGATATACTTCAGGGTGAACTCGATGTCAAAGAGCGAAAGCGCATGCAATTCCATTCGAATGCTACTGAGGGCATACTTTTTTTTCTTTTTTCTTTTTAATGGCGTTCGCTGAGGCACCTTCCCGAAATTCTCAGTGGCCATTCAGCCACTGAGGGGGATTGGAATATAGTTATCAACCAGCAATAGATGCGTCTGAAACGGCTTTCACCTTTTTAGCAGTAACGGATGCAGTACCCAGGGTTCGATCCCTAGACCTCACCCTACTCATGTACAGTATCTATGTAGACCCCGAGAATTGAAACTGCGACCTGTGTATTCGCAGATAGTTGACTGTTGTCTGTTGTAGGTCTGTAGGTCTGTGTAGCCGTAGGGGTTCAATCTGTAGGTCTGTCGAGTAGGGGTCATAGTTGTGTAGAGGCCGTAGCTGTAGCGATTCTGAAAGGTCAAGGTCGTAGCTGCTACAGTCCCAAAAGGGCAAGTCCACAGACTTCCGGAAGGTCCGGAAGTGGCCTTTCAAATTTTTCTCACGTTCCTCACAGCAGACCAGAGGCAAGTGGGCAAGTGGTGAGTCCAACTTTGCTTAGTCAGCGGTACCCAGTCTCAGTCTCACTTTGTCCAGTCMGCAAGTACCAYGTGGGACTGTGTGCACCGTGGGCCCSGTGGAAAAAGGGCAGACCAACGACTTACAGAAGTATAAATCAAGAGGCAGCGTCCAGCCATGCATGCATTCCTGYGTGAGCCATGCGGAAGCGCTGCCACAGCGACTTGTGCAAGGAGGTCTGCAGATGAGCCCGGAGGACGCAGTGGGCTAGAGAGAGGAAGTTAGCGTAGCGATARGGTAGATGCAGCGACAGCTGCCATAGCTGTAGTTAGTAGTGAGTGTGTGTGTGTGTTCGAGTGTTARAGTGATGCGTGTGGGATATCCAGGGTGATACAGTGTATGTGAACAGTGAGATGTTTGGGCGCTGAAGTCGCCATAGCCAATTAAGAGTGAACTCGTATCTGAAAGCCATATCTCTGAGTTTTGAGTGGGCGCATGTCGCCAGTRTGCTGCGTTRCTGTTTACATGYRTGAAAAGTGTGTTTGAAAACGAGTCTGAATGCATTGGTATCGGAGCTGGTACCCGCTATTCCATGCGCGCCGCCGTATGCATGGCCTGATGCGCCATAGTCGAGGTGGCAGCCGAGGGAAATAGTCCGCCATAGCGGACCTGAGGTTGAGGAAGCCGCCGCGCACCTGCAAGAAGATACGACGAAGAAGAAGACCGAGAGAGAGAGAAAGAGAGAGGGAGAGAAATGAGAGATACAAGATTGGGTTACACGTACCTGCTGCGCTGAAGATACCGTTACGGCGAGAGAGAGAGAGAGAGAGAGAGAGAGAGATGAGCGATACAAGTTTGGTTGTCACTCACCTGTGAAAGTTGCTGCGCAGTCCAGTCCACGAAGAAGAAAGACAGCGGCCATAGCCGCGGAGCCTCTACCACGGAGTGACAAAGTAGGAGGGAGAAGGACAGACCGAGCAAGGAGAGAAGCGGCCATAGCTAGGAGGTGAAGAGGAGGCCGACAAAAAAAAAAAGAAAAAAAAAAAAAAAGAAAAAAGAGAGGAAGAAGAAGACAGCAGGGGAAAGGAGGCGAGGGTGGTAAGGAAGAAGAAGGGGATTGGCGAGGAAGAAGTGCCGGCAGCCATAGCTGACCGGGGAGTTGACCGAGAGTGTTGACCGGAGTTGACCGAAGTTGACCGAGGGTCATAGCAGCATTGACGGGCGTTGACCAAGGCCGTTGACCAAGACTTTGACCAAGCTGGAGTTGGTAACATCTCGCCAAGCCCTTAGCCTGCCCTTGCCCTATGGATGTGCACATACCCCTTGGTACTTGCTGAGTACAGTCTGTCTATCTATTCTTTCTGCATTGAGTCTCTTCTGTCCTAGGTCATAGAACTCTGTGGATGAAGGATAGGGCCTTGCTGCCAAACCTGCACGAGACTTAGTAGGACTAATCTCTACTCTGGTATCTGGAGACCTGGGCATGAGCGGCGAGCGCTCGTTAAACAACTCGTCTAGCCCAATGACCGGTACTGACCGGCAGGTCTGCTCAGTTTCAGTGTAGAGGGTCCGAACTCTGAGCTGCAGGCTGAAACGGAGGCCGTCTTTAAGTGTTGAGGGCCTGTTGGAACCACTCCCCTACCAGACCAAGTAAGGCTGATGCTCTGTGTCTGACGACTCGACTGTCCCGGGGGATACGAACCCTCCCAAGGACCGGTACAGACCGGCGGGCTGCTAGGTGTGGCACAGTAGGCCGGAAAGGCTGAGTTGTGGGCTGAAAGCACAGGCATAACCAAGCTGATCACGTCGTCTTGTCTGCGACGTTAAAGAATTCTTGAGGAGTTACGAGGGATCTCCTTAAATGCCTCCTGATCAGCCACTGGTTAAGTAGTGACAGCCATAGCATAGGTCTAGGCTAGAGACCATAGTTGACAGGATCCCTGTCAGGATTTTGTAAGTCTTAGATTGGGTCTATAGGTTTGTCAATTAAGGGTTAGAGTCTACGTGGTGAGGAGTGGAATCATCCTGATTGTGCACCTATCACCATGGTTGAGACCCGTACTGGGTTAGAGACTAATCCCTATAGTCAGGAGCAGCAAGAAAAGATGGCCGCCTTAGTCAGAGAGAACAAAGAGAGAAAAAAGTGTGAGAAGCAAGCGAAGCTAAAGGCTATCGCAGATGAATAGGCGGCGAAGATGAAGAGATTGGAGAAGGAGATGAAAAAAGTACAACAAGAGGAGGAAGAAAGAAGAAAAGTTGCTGAAGCAGAAGCGGCAGCAGAAGAAGAGAAAGAGAGGATGAGGATTGAGAGTGGAGAGGGGAGTAGTGGTGGCACGATGACGAGGGAGACAAATACAGGGCTGGAGAAGAAGATCAGCGAGTGGGTCGCTTTTATCGTTGGGGGAAGACGAGGAGGCGGAGTCCTATGTAACTAAGGATGAGAAGGCTGCGTTGGCCGCTGAGCTAGCAGCCATGACAGACCCAATGGAACGAAGAGAGAGGGAAGACGAGCAAAAGTTAGCATGGAAGTTGAGAATGAAGAGGGAGAAGAAGAGGAGGAGAGAAGAAGTGAATAAGATGACCGCAGCAGTGGCAAAGGTGCAGGAGTGTAGAGCGGAGGTGCTAGCCCAGCCAGATGAAAAGGCCAAGTGGGACAGGGTACTGGGCTATTTAGAGGTGTTGAGTAAAGCCTGGATGGAAGAGCGCCAGGCAAGTTGGAGCCAGGATGTAGCGCTGAGTGCYATGCGGTCAGGGTTTAGAGATTTTGCGCGCGAGATCGTCACCCATATTGGGGGCGAAGTGAAGCACTTGAGAGATGATGTAGGGAAGTTTTGTGAGGGCGCCATTCAGGGTGCCAAAGCCGTAGCCGCTGTAGAGGGAGAGGCCAGACCCCGTAAGGACCCAGTGAAGCTTAAGTTTCCAGATGCGTACGAGGGAGAGAGGGAAGAAAACTTTGACAACTGGGAAGCCAGTTTCAATAGTTACATTTACTTGCAGGATATCTTGGTTGAGGAACAAGTCCTTGTGGCCTTCCAGGCCCTCAAAGACGAAGCGGCTAGTTTCGCCAGGTCTCTTGCGCGTACAGCCGGTTGTGAAAACAACCTGGTTGCGTATTCTAAAGTCACTCCTCTCTCCCAATTCCTCAAGCTCCTCAAGGAGCGGTTCGCTGACCCAACGCGACGCAAAAGAGCCTCTGATAAGCTCCAAACGCTTCACTCTCGGCAGTGGAGGAGTGCCAAGGCACTCAAGGGTACTATGGACGACTTAGTAGCCGTCCCAGACCACGGGGTCACCGAGCCCCAGTTGGTCCAGTTGTTTTATCGTGCCATCCCAGAGGCCCTACGCGGGCATTTTTTTGACAAGTCTCAGCAGGCCGGCATCACATATGACCAATTGAGTAGGGAGGTCGTCCTGTATGAGTCAAAGTCTATGTCGGTTACCACTTTCTGGCATAAGGACCTGGAGAAGGGGAAGAAGTGGAAGAATCGTACTATCTCAGGCCAAGTAAAAGCCAAGGATCACATGATCCTGACATTAGAGGAAGGTGGTATTGATGACGTCCCGTATGATCAGATTGAGTGGGGCCTTGAAGATGATGGCAGTAGTGTGGGGCAGGGGAGGTCTTACGCTGCTGTCGCGGCTGGAGGGAGGCCGCAAGGAGGAGGAGGAGGCCAAGGCCAAAGGGGCCAGGCCATGGGAGGCCGAGGACCGGGCGCACAGGGGGTTGGCGGACAGGGAAACCGCCAAGCAGGAGGTAGGGGTCAAGGTCCCCCATCAAATCGCCAGGGTAACCGGTCCCCACAGCGAAGAGGTGGAAGGGCACCTCAAGGAGGATGGCACCCAGGCTTGCCGCAGGGCAGGCCCTGGGAAGATTTGGGCTTGGACC